GTGGATGCCTATGATAGATTGCAATTCAGTATGGGTACTTTGTCAGTTAGTATTATAGCGTGATAAAAAGTCTTAATTTCTATTATGGATATACCCGTTGTCAAATATAATTTAACGAAAGATTGTGCCTGTGGTAGATTGGGATCTAACACCACGTCCTGTGGATTACAAATTACCACGGCAATGCCTAGTATAAAAAGTTTTCCCAAAAAAAAAAAAAAAAAAAAAACCATTTAAGAAATATATTTCTGAGTGTGTGTGTGCATATATATATATACATGCCCTTTATTTAAAAAGATTCTCATTTTTTGTTAAAAATTAGGACTAGTTGTAAGGCCCACTCCACATCGAACTTCACCAATCCGAATGGTTTATTTTTCAAGTTGTACTTTATAGATCATCCTTGCAAATTAGCCAAGTTGAAATTTTTTGAGACATCTAATTGAGTTCAATGAAATTGACGAACACTATATTCTAAGAAATATTGAAATTTCATCATGACAATCAAATGAGTAGATGATTTCATATTGAATTGATTTTTTGTAAGAATGATCTATGAATTAAGACTTAAAAATAGACAATTCGAATCGTTAAAATTTGATGTATAATAGACCCCATAACTAGTCCCATATATATATACATATACAAAATTGCACAGTTACCACAATATAATAATACATAAAAATCACAGTTCAAAGATTGTTTAAAGACAATTTGATTAAGGGTACTTTCTAAATTGGTTAACAACCATGTAATGATGTAAATGAATACGCTTCTCTTTGTTCAAACACATGTGATTTCAGTGAACCTAAGTCTGTCTCTGAACCTTATGTACATACACACAAATTAAAAGACTTGGTCGTCGTATATTTTACATCATACGCTTCCCTTTTATTATAACAAATTGGGTTTTTATCACAAATGGTCTTTAAAATTGGCTCATATCTATCAAGATGTTCCATAAAATTGAAAATTATCAATATAGTTCTTAAAAATAGATGTAGCATATCAATGTGGTTATTCTGTCATAATCCTATCAAAAATTCTGTTATATGCTAATGTGACATATAAATGAAAGGCAACTCTTGGACTGCATTGGAGAAAATCTAGGCCCAAAAATTAGAACCAAAATCCTAGTTCTGGGTGTACCAGAAAACTAACAAAGTCGTCCGACGTCTGTGCTTGCGAAGCCAAGTCTGTAGTTCAAGGCCTAGCATGATGGAGGTATCCCGTCATCGGTGGGCAGTTTGTTCGTGGGAATGGTGCCCAAAGGCAGCAGCCAGCCTCTGGTTTTCTGGATTGGTGTCGTCAGGGACGATGCCCCGCTATGAAGGCGGCGTACAGGCCGTCGTGAGTCTGTAAATTACAGATTGACAACCACGACGTTGTGTCTTAGCGCGACTTCAGGTCAGCACGGCTCCAGTGCAGGAGGAAGACAACTAATAGTCTTCGTTTCTCTGTGCTGGGGCCAGGAGCTGCTGGCACAACTAGCTAGCGGCTTGTCTCGGCTCAAGCATGGTTTCAAGTCATGGTTTCAGCGTGAGCTAGAGTTTAAAGTCTCTTGTTTTCTTTCTTTTTCTTTTCTTGTTCACATATATTCAATTCACATGATATATAATTATATATTAATAATACAAACACAACTTTAGTAGAATTTATAATTCATAACGCGAAAAGTAATGTTCATGCATATGGTGAAGGTTTATGCAATCAGGCTGAAAAAATATCGACAATTAAGACTGTGTTTTAGAACAACCTGGATTTCAATGATGAATATTGTGAACGGATTTGTAGGAGTTCTTCCTTAATTCAATAAAGTCAGAAGTTATTCAAATAAGAGTATTTAAAATGTAATACTTTCCTGATTAAAGAAAAGCGTACTGATAACGTGTTACAACCTCTTCTCTAGAAGGCGACAAAGGGAAAGAAAGGTGGAGAATAGGTTTGAGAAATTCTGTATGTTATTCCCTAGACCTTGTGCCTTTATTTATAGTAAACTAAGGAGGATTCATTGCCTTGCAAGTAATACAATCCTAAAGTAAAAAGATGTTTTAGTATCCTAAATACAATATACTAATAATTTACACAATCACGCACGGGATAGAAGTATATTCATAACAAATAGTTGTTTTTCCATATATATAAGAGGCATTTAAATATGTGTCCACAAAATCGACATGCTATTAAGTTAAGTCCAATGTTATCTTTTCTTCACTTTAATTTATTTTTATACTTATTTATATTTTTTTAAATATTAGAGATTAAAATCTTCTCATTTCATGCTTTTTTTTGTAGGAATTGTTATTGGCACTCTAAAATTCTCATTCTATACTCCAAACTTTCTATATTTAGGAAGAAAAATACACTTGTGAGGAGTGTAGAATGAGATTTTTGAAGTGTCAATAACACTTCCCTTTCTACTTCCTTTTTTTTTTTTTTGTATCTTTGAATTTTGAATATGGGACCATAATTTTCTATGCCCATGACACGTGACACTCAAGGTGGTTACGCTAAAGCCCTTGGAGTGAGGTTGGAGCTACATGGGCATTTCAAATCGGGCTACCACAGGCCAAGGTAGTCCGGTATGGTTTCATTAGCTCTAAGCACATTAAAGATATTATTTGTCTCCAAATTAAGGTTACTCTAATTCAAGTCAAATTAGGGTATTTTGGGATTATGCAACGTAATCATAATTCTATGAGGATTGGATATCTTATCCTAAATTCCCTCCTAGAAAGTCCCCTGGTTTAATTGGGATTGCTCTATTAAGATCTCTATATATACCATTGTCGATGCTAATTTCCACCGTCTTCAGTTTTGACAAAAATGCACCTGCAAAACAATCAACACCTTTGATCAAAGGCCTAAGCCTCACACACACACGAGGTGGGGGGGTTAGGTCAACAGATCTCCGATGCCTAAGTTAGTTTCTCTAAGAGAGTAAAGTGTTTAAGGCTTTTTAGGGTTGCAAAAGCTCTCAAAATTTGGTAGAATATGGGGTATTTATAGGGTTAGGGCCGGCTATTTAGTGTTTAACGGAGAGATATTCTCTAAATATTCCCAAGATATTAAATAGGAAATAATATCTTGAGATAACGGTGTAATTATCCCTAATTGATTTAAATTAGGATTACTTACTTGATTGGAGTCAATCTTCAATTAGGAATGAATTAAAGATAGGATTTGGGTAATTAATCCTTATCTTTAATTCATTGCCAAGGGCAGGTGAGCTATGGGCAGTCGTGTTCAACTGCTGAGATCTCCAGGGATGTGAGGTGCACGTGGGAGCATCTGAGAAACTTGCCCATTTATTGAGAGCAATCTTGTCCTTCTTGAATAAAAGTTCATGTGTCACCTCTAGAATATTTGGGATTATTTTAGGCTCCACAACCATGGCTTGGGTATTTGTCTCTTTAATTAATAAGTCTTTTATGGTGGATGTACAATTGATATTCTCTATGTTTAATATAGGCTCACATATTCTCTACACGTCGTTCATCTATGCGTAGACATGGAAGCATCTCATACACGCCCCACCATACGATTTTCATCAATGATTGTTCATGATGTTTTACACATCACACCACGTATTTTCTAGCCCTACAACAGTGATTTGATTCTCTTGTCCAGGAGATATGTAGGCAGTCCAATCTGAATTCAATCGCACCCTCAATCAACCACATTCTACCTTCGCCAGAGTTCATGGACAATTCCAACTGAATTATGCCTCCATTCGTGGATGTGCGGGACTTTGGTTCCAATAATATATTTGAAAATTAATATATTAACATAAACCCGTTTACAGAACATACGACCTAACTCAAGGGACAAGTACATAAATGGATAACGTACCTATAAGCAAGATATGAAACCACACTATAAGGTACAAAAACATAATATACTCATAAGCAAGACATATTGCTTTGTGATACACATTGATTATCAAAAAAGAATATATCATATAGGGAGATAACACAATTAACCTGTGATATAGGTAGATTACAAAAATTAAAAATAAAATATATGAATGGATTTAGAGGAAGAAGGAGAAAAAATAACATATATAAATGGGGTTTAGAGGAAGAAGAAGAATAAATAACAAAAAGAAAAGATCAATGCTTCCCTTATTATATATTATTTTTTATACCACATTTGTCCCACCTCTAATGGAGGTAGAATCCACTAATACATGTGAGTCTCATCTCTATTAAAGATGTAGTTCAAATGTGGTATGAAAAATATGATAAGAGTAGCATTTTTGAAATTAAAAAAAAAGATAATTAGGAAAAGATTCAAATTCTATAGTATATTTTATCATTAAAGAGATAATTATTAAATAATACTAAACTCAAAAAATGAGACTTAAAGGGGTGTATCCAATTAAGATTTTGATGAATTTTAAAAGAATTTAGAAATCGAGGTGTATTCATTTAAGATTTTAAATGAATATGTCAAACTCCAGTGGTGTTTAATCTTGATTTTTGAAGAGTCTATCAAAATCTGGTGGTATTCAATCTCGAGTTTTTTAAAATGTTTCAAAATCTGGTTGTATTCAAAATTCAATGAATTTGTAGGAATTTAAGAGTTGAAGGATTTCCCTATCAACTCCGTTTTATTTTAAGACCTTGTACCCAATAAAGAAATGAATCTATTATTTTCCTGGTCACCAAAATTAAAATTATAAGTAGTAAGTAACTGACCCATAAGGCGTTTAATTTGCGGTTAACACCAAGAATCCAGATAAAAACAGCAGGTTTGTTACTTGTTGCCAATTAAAGTTAGACACTTAAAAGGCATTGGATAAATACAGGCAGAAAACTAAAAACAATTAACTATTAACAACGATTAATCAATTCAAGTTTTAACCAATGAAAGCAGTTGAGCCGTCTTTTTTTTACTGGGTCTTTTAATTTTAGGCACATTCCTTATTAATATGGTCAATGTCTCATGTTCTCTTGTATACATCGCCAATCCAAAACCCCTTTTTTCTCTTTTTCTCGCTATATATACAATCTCTCACCAACTTTTATTCCTCACCAGTTTCTTATATTTCTCCTTTTTGTAATTGTCCTTGTTGGTGCAAGAAAATGTTCATGATAGTGTTTGATCCGAATTAAACTTTTTAATTTTAGAGAGGGAAGGAGCGAGTAGAGAGAGAGATGGATAACTCTATTGGTGCAGGGTTCGTGGCTGTTTTTGCTGTATCTGGAAGCGTGGTTCTTCTTGCCCACCAAGTCCACAAACGCCTTCTCTCTGATTTTATGAAGAATATTGAATCTGAATTAGGTGGTTTCCTCTCTCCCCACAAAAGATCGGCTTCTGGTAAGTCAACTTTCTCTAATTCTCTCGTCCTTAATTGTAGCAATGCGTCCTGAACTTTGTGTCCCCTTTCGCGCAAAACCAAAAGTCTAAAATTCAATTTTTGTTATTTTTTGATGTACTTAGGAGGATCTGAGAAAGTGCAAACCAAGAAGAGTGTTAGATTTGCAGAGGATGTTGTGGAACCATCATCAAACAACAAAGAGTTCCGCAAGAGGAGATGCAGTAATACTTCAAAGCAGGCCAAAGAGGGTTACGGGAATTATAAAATGGAGGACAACACCATGCCGCTCAACAGGCAAGCTCTTTACAAAGGGATCATTGAATTTAAGGCCTACAAGGGCACGCATGCATATTAAAGAATAACTGTCGTTGGTTAAAGTCGTGCATGTCTTTCAATTTGTAAATACTTTCCCTTTTGGAAGAAGTTTACGGCGAGGGCATGTGTATATATTTTCCTTCTCATAATTACTCATGATGTAATCTTTATATGATGAAGAAATTGTGAAACGAAAATATATATGTTCCGCTATACTAAAGATTTTGTTATCCATAGATTTAGTTCCATGGATGTGAAAAGTCTTTTAGGTGGTGTGGCAGTAGGAAGAAGTGACTGCTTTCGTTTGAATAAAAGGGTAATTTGGTTGTTCATTAGTTGACCAAAACCTAGGAATTATCAAAGATGATTCCATAGAAAGACTAGCATCTACTGCAGGACTCAGTCTTCGCTTGTATATTGACTCTGTAATGTTTCTGTTTCTTGTACATAAAATGATAGAAATAATACAGTCTGCGTGCAGGTTATTTTATAACTTTAGTGTCCCTGCTGATTTTGTAGTTTGATTTTCTTTTATATGTAGCAGTATTCTCTTGTCAAACTTATCATTTTAGACTAAATTTAAATTACAAATTAAAATAATTTCACATGTTGACAAATGGTATGGTATGAGAACACTTCCATCTATATAATAATGTGTATCGAAAGGCTATAAACTTATGAAAACAATTTTTTTTTTAAATAATAAAATGTATGAATTGATCATTCAAAATTCTAAAATATGTTACTTAAGGAAAATAGCTACACATATTTAGGAAAATCAAAAAGTAATGTCACACACTATAGTAACCGGAAAATACAACAAAGATTCAAAGGATTATACATGCATTCAGATTACCAAGGGGGATGGATAGGAATCTTTATTTTCTCTCTTAACTTTCTTATTCAGATAGATCATTGTTTTGGACTCTAGGGCTAAGTAAACGAGGATTACATTGTAATTAATAACTCATTATATTCAAGGTATGTTGAAGGAATACATAAAAAAATTGTATCGAATTTGAAAACGAAAGATGAATTACCGAATAAGAAAACTTACTCCTTCAATGTACCTAGAATTTATAAGGTTAAAACTCTAAATGTAAGAAACTCAACTTTAGTCGGATGGACCATGCAAATCCTCTTGTTCTTGATTGTGATTAAAATAAAAACAGTGGGTTTAACAATCTTGATCTCGTTGAACTAGTTTTTCCCCAACACAAGATGCACAGGTACAAGTAAAAATTTGAATCAACCACTCCATGCCTACGCGTATTCCTTGAGTTGTTTGACATCTTGCTGGGAGGAGGCAATTGTGATTTTATTGTGTTGGGTAAAATTTCTAAGGCCTAAAAACATGTGACTCGGCTGCCCTTTTCTTCAGCCCAAGGTTACTGGGTACTAGGACTCTGAATGGTTTTTGCGCAGCCCCTTTTAAGAGGAGCTAAAAATGTCATAAGACCCAAGAAAAAATTTATATAGTTCACATCACAAGAATAAATGTTTCCTTGTTTAATTGTTTTAATTAATGGAGTGAACGGATTCGAACTTTGTACATCAATCCGAACTAGAAAACACGACACACAATTATTTCAATTGTGTTTTCGACAAGCATTCGGATATTTTTTTTTTTTTTTGAACAAACGATATTATTTACATTAGGGAGAGATGATGAGTTTAGCATCACAATAAGCTAGTAATAATATTGTTCAAACTCGTCTTTAACAAAAATCAAACCTAAGTTATATTGAAAAAACATTGAATAAAAGGATAAATACTCTAACCACTTGAGTTATAAGTGCTTTGTAACATTTGGATGTGTTGAGAAAAAAAAAAAAAAGAATGAACCAAAAAAGAAACAATTATTATATTGGATGACAACTTGTAAAAGACTAGATATTGCTAAAACGTATAAAAGGGATTAAATTTTATAAAAATTTGAAGGGTTTTTATTAGAAATAGTCTCTAAAATGAGCACCAATTATCAATTTGGTCTTTAAAGTTGAAAATCAATAAATGTCATCTTGTAACATGATGAAGATCATTTTCGTCAAATATTTTGTTCAGAATAATGTTAGACAAACTAAATTAATGCACCAAATGATGTGTCGCTAATCAAATGTGTACCTTAATTCAAATTAGAATTTAATTAACAATTGTAATAAAAATTTATATAATATAAAATGTGCCACATCATTTGGTGCGCAAATTTAATCTACAAAAGTGTGTGTAGCACCATCATTTTGTTAGTGAGTTGACATGGCATACATGACAAGTGCATTAAAATAAAATTAAAGTTTCTAAAATGATTTTAAAGTTTTGAAAAAAAAAATGACAAAAGAAAAATATCAATAAAAAACTGAAACAAACACAATAAACCCACCCAGCAATTCCGGCCGGAGCCGCCCACCTCCACCAACGTCAGCCCCATAAACCTTAAACCCTAAACAACCCTAAGAAATCCAACAGAAAATACCGAAAAAAATACCTAATAGAAAATAACCCTAATTGAAAACTATCCCAGCATGAATTTTTTTTTTTTTGTCAAACGATAGAATTTTGTTAAATTAGGTGCTAAGATTAGCCACCGACGGGGTTTGAACCCAGTTAAATTAGGTGTTAGATTAACCACCGATGAGATTTGAACTCACGCCGTCATGCAAGGATTCAACACATTTCCCAATAGGATATTTAACAATATTGTTATTAACTAACTATAATTGGAATAAAAACATATACTTAAGTAGTCCTAACTCCTAAATGATCCATCTTGACTAGCTTGTGTTGTGTATATTAGGCGTGGGCACGGGCCGCGCCGGGCCCATTTTTGAAGGGACCGGACCGGACCCGGAATAAAGGAAGACGGGCCGGGCCGAGCCGGGCATTACAAATCTTAAAATAGGAACCGGACCTTACCCGGCCCGGTTGAAACGGGCCGGTTCGGTTCGGGTCCATGGGTCCTTTTTTTTTTTTTTTTTTTGCTGTTTAAAAAAAATTGCACAAAAAATTGCACAGAATATATTGCAATTTGCATATATTGCAGTTTGCACACAGATTACAGTTTGCAAACTGCACAAATCGCAGTTTGCAAACTGCACAAATCGCAGTTTGCACAAAACACAGATTGCAGTTTCTAGTTTGCACATATTGCAGTTTCCAATTTGCACAGATTGCAACTTGCATAGATTGCAGTTTGGCATTTTGCAATGCACAGATTGCCACAGATTAAAATAAAAAATAAAAAAAAGCACAGATTGCAATTGCACAAATTTTCAATCTGTGCAAATTTACAATTGCACATATTCAATACATCCAAAATAACATTACATCGTCCAACATCTAAAGATCAAATCAACATACAAAATATTCGAAACCGAGAGTCCAAGACATTCAAATTCCAAAGTCCAAAAATCAAATAATTCAAAACAATATAAACATGACATTTTCAATAAATTCCAAATGAACATAGGAAACCACATCCAAGTTCCAACATCATTCCTCATTGAATCTGTAAGGAAAAATAGAATATAAACTTGATATTATTAACGTCCATCATCATATTATCCTCATTGAATCATTGAAAAGTAAAGCTTATTCATTTAAGTTTAAAATATTACCGCAATTCATTTTCCTTTATTCATTTGAGTTGTTTGAGGAGCTTCAATTTCAGCATCACTTGATGAGATGGTTGAGCTTGTAGATATAACATTAGCATTTGCTTTTCTTCTTTTATATTCTACAACAAAGAACAAAAGGACGTTAATTGTAAACAAATTAATATAAAGTTATAGACCAAACTATACAAAACAAAAGAATTACATTCTTCACACTCTTGATAAAATTCAAGCTTCGCCGGACTTGCTTCATACTCAATGTTGCTAATTGGTTCACTTCTTAACCAGTTTTGGAGGCACATCAATGACTCCACTGTTTGATGAAGGATAGATGATCTAAAGGGGTCAATTACTCTCTTTCCTCCACTAAATGCACTTTCACTGGCAACTGTTGACACTTGAATTAACAACACATCTTTCGCTATCAAAGCAAATGTGGGATATGTGCTCCTCCCTTTCAACTTCCACCATTTCAAAACGTCAAATAATGAACCATGTTGTACTTTCTCTACAGTGTCGATGAGATACCTATCCACCTCATGTGCAAGTGCAATATCATCGGTGTCTTCTAATTCTTTCTCCCAATCATCCATCATTTGACTAAATATCATTGGATTTTCTGTTAGCACACTAGATGATCGTTTTACCCTTGAACAAGTAGTATCATCAACAACTAAATCTCCTCTACCCTTTTGTTGTGTTTGTGAACCGAAAGCTTGGTAAGCATATTCATCACACATCGCCTTCAACAATGTCTTCACTTCATTACTTTTCTTTTGAATCTCTTCTTCAGGAAGATGTAATTGCTTTCTACACAAGTGCATGTAGTGCCTTAATTTGAACCTTGGGTCTAAGACAAGGGAAACTACAAATATTTGATTAAGGGACTCAATTGAACCAAAATACTTTCGATATTTGGCTCTCATGCTTATTGCCATGTCACGTAGCACCACTTCTACACTTCCTCCAATTTGCATATATTCAGGCAAAAAAAGCTTTTCAATCTCTCTCTTCACAGCAATAACATCATGAACAACTGTATTAGATGTCGGATAATTACTTGCACTAACTTTTAAAGTTATAAGATAAAAGACCTTCAAAAATTCCACAAATATTTATGCACTATCCCAATCTTTGTCCTTCAGTGGTCCAACCCTCCCTTTACCCGCCACTTTTTCTCCTTCATCATTAAGCACATTTTCCCCAAAATAGGTGGGGTATATATATGGCTTCATCATCTTCGAACATCCTTTCAAATGCTTTTTTAAACTTCAAGCACGATTCTAGCATCATATATGTGCTATTCCACCTAGTAGGCACATCCATAACAACTAGACCCTTACCATCCAACTTCTCATTCTCCACACATTTCTTGAAATAACTAAACCTTCGAGGACTTGGATCTCACAAACCACACGGCATTTCTAAGAGCATCAACACTTGTATCTAATCTTTTCAACCCATCTTTCACTACCAAGTTGATAATATGGGCTAAGCACCTCACATGCATAAACTTGTCATTCATAACAATTTTGCTATTAGGCCATTTCCGCATTTTACGAACAATATACTCAATTGCCACCTTATTAGCTGATGCATTGTCAGCTGAGATACACATCACCTTCTCAATTCCCCACTCAACCAAACATTGCTCAACTAGCTTCCCTATTTCTTTGCCTTCATGACTTGAAATCAAACAAAAATTTAGAATCCTTTTGTGCATATTCCATTCGTCATCCACAAAATGACCAGTTAGTACCATGTAGTTCAAATTTTGCACACTTGTCCATGTATCAGTAGTCAAGCTCACTCTATGCTTGTGTATCTCCCTTTTTAATTGATCTTTCATGGTATCATACATATTGAATAAGTCCCTCACAAT